GATTGGGCGCAATTCACATTTTCGCTTGTAGTCCGCTCGGGTGTAGTCTTCTGTTACAAAGACTCCCTCGTTCTTCAGTATAGTTTTAGCCTTACGCAACACGGCAATCCTTTCTGGTCGTCTAAGAAACTTAACAACAATATGAGATTTGGACACTCGAGATGCAAGTCAGTTTCCTGTATAGATTTGGTGCGGTTTTCTATCATGGCGGCGGGGTCTTCGAAACCAAGCTTGTCTTTCAGCAGAATGACGAGTGTTTCAATGCAGTTCTCTCCTGTGCTCGTCTCAATACCACCAAATCTTAGGTTGATAGACCTTGAATATCGTGTTATCGTCATCGCTTTCTTTCAGTTTAGATTCCAGTTCCTCAATTTTTTTTTCAGCTTGCTCCAATCGACCATCAACGGCCATGTGGTTTTTTTTTCAGTTTGGACACCTTGATCAAAGTTTCGTTTAGCGAGCGTTCAAAATCTTCCTGTTTTTTCTCCATTATTTCAAATGTTCGGTTTTCGAGCGCTGCTCATCGTTTAGCTTGTCCATTTTCTTCTCCATTCTGCAGAGACTAGTTTTTAGAAAGGTCTTGAAATCGTCGTCGTTATGCATACCCTTTTTGTGTCATGTGGGACCTTCGTATCACGTACAGCCTGAGTGACGAACCTCTGCAGCGAATTCGGTTGGCGTGATGTCGTTTTAGATTTTGACGTTTTCGGAGACATAATTATTCATGCAACTTGTCCAAGTTTCCCACGAGCACTTCAGCTTGCCGAGTTCACATTCAAATTTGCAGAACCTTTGCTATTTTACTGCTAAAATACCCAGAGCCCACAGAACGAGCCGGTCAAAGATTTGTTTACATGTCGTAACCTTTGATCTTCTTCTTTCATTCTTTGTTTTGCTGCGATCTCCACAACACTGGTACATATATGGTCAGGTCAGGTCTATAATTTATGATCTATGAATTTTTATTTCATATTTTCTTTTTTAATTTTCTTGGAGCATTAATCTGCTTTGATAGGCTTACAAGGCTGGTGGTCAACAGTGGTTGGATGAATGCAAACAAAAATGTGTAATTAATATGTAAATTAGATAATTAATATGCACATAAATTAATAAATTAAATTAAATTAAAAACAAGTCATTAAATTAAAATCACATAGTCCCCGTTAATTTTTTGAACGTTCTCTTTGTGCTTGTCATATTAAAGTGGAGGGGTATTGCGAGTGCGTCCTTGAAACGTTAGTCCCAAGTTTCGTATACAACAGATTGTTTATTTACATCAAATTCGAACACATGTTGCGTGATGACCCCGCCAGTTTAAGACATAGCAAAGAAAAACATAGATCACAAGTGAAAGCATGTCCAAGTTATCACATTTTATCACAAGATGGCCGCTAGTCGGCCAAATTTGATCAAATTGCAAATTGAATTGACATGTACTTGTATCCATTCATGACATGCTAAATATCAATGAAAATCAAAGAAAGCTTAGAAAGAACTCTTGAGAGACACATTAAAAATAATTCAAAATTACTTGTACTTGAGATATTGATGGAAAAGCTGAAAACTAATTATGCAAATCAGAAAATTAACATGAACAGATTTGAGTGTAAAACTAATAAGGTCTGCGCAATGTAACAGACCATCTATGTTCCAAGTTTTATTGAAATGTGATTAAAACCCCCCAAAAATGAATAATTATGCTAATTATGGAATTAATATAAACAGTTTTTAACCCTAAACTAATCAGGTTTGTACATTGTCCTATAGCATTTTTGTATTAAGTTTCATTGAAATGGAATATTTAGTATTTTAGATATAAGTGTGAATAGAATTAGTTAATTATGCAAATTAGGTAATTAATATGTACAGATTTTAACCCACAACTAAACAAGTCTGTCTATTGTCCTACAGCATCCATGTACAAAGTTTTATTGAAATGTGATGATTAGTACTTGAGATATCAGGGTGAAAGTCATTGCAAATTAGGTGATTACTATGCATAAATATTTACCGAAAACTAATTGGGTCTCTGCATAGTTCTAGATTCAGTGAAATTTGATGATTAGTACTTTAGATATCAGAGGAAAAGCTTAATTAATTAATTAATTAATTAATTAATTAATTATGCAAATTAGGTAATTAATATGTACTGATATTACCCTAAAAACTATCAGGTCTGTGCAGTGTCCTATGACATCTATGTACGAAGTTTCATTGAAATGTGACGATCAGTACTTGAGGTATTAGTGGAAAAAAACAAAAATTGACTAATCATTATGCAAATTAGGTAATTAATAAGCACAGATTTTTACCAGAAACTAATCAAATCTGTGCATAAGTTCAGAGTATCTATGTACCAAGTTTCATCAAAATCCAATGAGTGGTTCTCTAGATATCAGTGGAACAGTCATGGAACAGCTAAAAATTAGGAAATTATTATGCAAATTAGGTAATTAATAAGCATGGATTTTTACCAAAACCTAATCATTGGCCCAGAGCATCTATGCACCAAGTTTCATCAAAAACCGATGTATGGTTCTTTGAGATAGCAGTGGAAAAGACGGACACACATACATACACACACACACCCACACACACACACACTTACATACAGACAAACTAGGGGCACCATTTGTGTGCTTTGCACATGGGAGTCAATGATACATGGGTGACAGAGATATAGTAATATGGCCAAAAATAAGCCGTTATTCGGTCATTTTGATCTGATTATGAAACAAAGTGACACGAATGATGTATGTGCCAAATACGAATGAAAATGGTACATAAATCATGGAAATCAGCCATCCTTGATTCGATTTTGAAACAAATTGTCATAGACATGTATCCTAACATGTATAATGTATATGCCAAATTTGAATGAAAACTGACAAAGCATGTCCAAGATACGACATCCAAAAAAAAAGGAGGATGCCTGCCAGTCGGCCATCTTTTATCCAATTGCAAAAGTAATTGTCGTGGACATGTATCCCAACATGTATAATCTATGTACCAATTTTGAATGAAAGCTGACCAAGCATGTCCAAAATACGACATTTTCAAAAAACAAGATGGCTGCCAGTCGGCCATTTTGATTCAAATCACTAAACCACTGCATGTGCATGTGTCCCACATAAAGTACTAGGCACATGCAAAGAATGAACGAAATTGGTCCAAATTCTGAAATATGACTTCGCACGGTTGCACACACAAACGGACAGACGCACGGACAGACGCACACACAGACGCACACACAGACAGTTGGAGGACATGTATCCTAACATGTATAATCTATGTACCAAATTTGAATGAAAACTGAAGAAGCATGTCCAAAATACAACATTTTCAAAAAACGAGATGGCTACCAGTCAGCCATTTTGAATCGAATCGCTAAACCACTGCATGTGCATATGTCCCACATAAAGTACTAGGCACATGCAAAGAATGAATAGAATCAGCGCGACGGATTCTGAAATATGTCTCCGACAGACGAACGGAAGGACACCAAATTATAAGTCCCCGTTTTCGGACTTTGTCGTGACAACGTTATGTTGTGAGGCAAGGCAATACAAGATATCAATAAGCCATCAATAAATTTCTGGAGATCATCATCTGTGTCTTGTAGAAATGTAATGTCTTGTATGATTCGTATTAATTTATAGTGAGAGAGCATACCATACAATTTATATAAAAAATTTCTAAACTCACCTTTTCTTTCTCTTCAGCAGCTCTTTTCTCTGCCTCTTTTATCTTATCACTCAATTTTTTCATATCAACTTGCATTCTCCGTAAACTATCCTCATGCAGTTTCCTCTGTTCAGATAGCTGAAATGAGACAATTAAAGGCATGTGAATAGGAAACAAAATGAATATGAACTTTTCAACAAATGGGCAGCCATAACAGCCAAAACTGGGCATTCAGTGTTTGTGGTGTTATGAACGCAAAGAAAAATTTTAGCATCTGAAAGAATACCATGTAAACATAGCTATAATAATGTTTCATTTTATTTAATTTTTGATGACCAACTGTACGTAAATTGAAGTTAAGCAACTGAAGTCACTATTGCATATGATTCCCAAGATGAATGATGTACACGTGAAGTTTTAATAAGATCAGTCTAGGCATGTCTGAGATGCACGTGGAGACGTATGAACACAGACAAGCAGGTAGGTAAAAAAAAACAAGTCCTCATTTTCGGATTGTGTCCAAACAAAGACTAACAAAAAAATATATGCAGACACTGATATAGTCTTACCTTGGCTTGCAGAGCCTTGTCTGTAAGCTGTTTGTATTGTTCATCAGCTGATTGTAGTCTGTTCTGCATTGCTTTGATCTCAGCTTCAGCCTGAAACAATACATCACATATATTAGTGTATTGATGTACAACAGCCCTGGTCCCAGACAAAGAATTGTTTACAAAACAGACCATCACTCATTGTCTTCCAAAGATGATTCATCGTGTAACTGGTTCATTGTTTTAAAGTGCAACTGTGAAAATTCTGGCTTGTTATCGTACCTAAAAAGTCTTTTCAGCGAAAATTAATTCCAGCTGAAATGAAGTAATTTACAGTAACCATTTAGCATGAAGTGGTTTTAATTCCGAAACACGAAGATTGACTTTGACATCGGAAATATCAGCTCCTGTTTAAAAGTTCCTTCAAAATACTGCCAATGTACCACGATTGAAAGTTAGATTTCAGTGAGTCCTCAAAAGGCTTAATGACGGCAAGATCATGGAGTTGCAGCCGATTGGTACAACAGGCCGGAAACACAGTAGCAATGTTGTTGTTGTGTAGTTTTTTTCAAAAAAATCTTCACATAGATGTTCTCTGAATTCATCAAATAATGCCAGGGCTTTTTGTTCTTTGCTTAACCCCAGCTTCTGGCGTGTCGATGACACATACGGAATGATAACATTGTATGAATACCGGTGCATTGTTTTTCGTATTTTTACTTGGCAGTAATAATAGCGATAATCCTTGAATATGTGTTGGCAAGTGCAAGTGTAACACTCGTTTTTAACGTGTAAATTAGTAACAGACATTGAATAATAAATGGTCTTTGTTCTTATTTGTTAAGATTCTGTTTTAAATTTATTGACAAACATGTATAAATGAAAGGTCAAAGTTGAATACTAGTAATTTGTCTGCAAGAAGAACGCGAATAATATAATGCGCGAATTAGACAAAATTTGCTTTCACCTGAAAATGTCATTTGCGAAAATTTCCCATCCTACAGTATTTTTGATAGAAACTGTTAACTGCAGATCGAAAATCTTCTATTGTATAGATTCTATTTCGTTTGATCATTTTGCTTTTTGGTGCCGATGACATACATTCATCAAGTTTTGTAATGAACAAATTTTGAACGTTTGTGCGACAACATAAATTTTATATTGCTTCATCCAAACAAGCAGCCTGTCGGCTGAGATAGCTCTACTATTAGCAATGCACATTACAATTAAAGAACTAAAGATATCATTAGAAAATGAACAATAATTATAGTATCAAAGCAATCGACTGTTTTCAACAAGAATTCGAAAATATCACTTTTCACCAAAAACTACAAAAATACATGTATTCACTGAAATTAGTAAATAAAATATATCATGAAATGAACAAGCCATGCATGGCACAGTCCCCGTTAGTTATCGAATTTAAGATATATAGTTTTGTTTATAGTAATATAGCTAGAATACAAGTCATTGAAAATGACAGTCCCCGTTAAGTTCTCTTTGTGCTCGTCATATTAAAGCGGAGGGGTTGTCGTGAGCGTGTCCTTGAAACTTGAGTTCCAAGTGGCGTATACAACAGATTGTTTATTTACATCAAAACACGTGTTTCGTGTAATAGTAATATGTCCAAAATAAAAACAGCCGTTATTCAGCCATCTTTGATCTGTTTATGAAACACACCGATATGTATGATGTATGTGCCAAATACGAATGAAAATGGTACATAAATTGTGGAAATATAGTAGTAAGGCCAAAAAGTCAGATAACTGTCAATCGTCTATCCTTGACCAGATTTTGAAACAAATTGTCATGGACATGCATCCTAACATGTCTAAAGTACATGTGCCAAATTTGAATGAAAACTGACAGAGCACGTCCAAGATACCGCATAAAAAAACAAAAACAAGATGCCTGCCAGTCGACCATCTTTGATCCACTTGCGAAATAAATCGTCATGGACATGTATCCTAACATGTACCATCTATGTACCAAGTTTGAATGACAACAGACAAAAGCATGTCCAAAATACTTTTCTAAAAAACAAGATGGCTGCCAGTCGGCCATTTTAAATCAAATCGCTAAACCACTGCATGTGCATATGTCCCACATAAGGTACTAGGCACATGCAAAGAATGAACGGAATCGGTCCACAGGATTCTGAAATATGACGTTGGATAGACTGACGCACAGACACACGGACGGTCGGACGGACAGACTCAGGAACTCACGTACGGTCAGGGACATGTATCCTAACATGTATGATCTATGTACTAAATTTGAATGAAAACTGACAAAGCATGTCCAAAATACGACATTTTCAAAAAACAAGATGGCTGCCAGTCGGCCATCTTTGATCCAATTGTGAAATAAATCATCATGGACATGTATCCTAACATGTATAATCTATGTACCAAGTTTGAATGAAAACTGACGAAGCATGTCCAAAATACAACATTTTCAAAAAACAAGATGGCTGCCAGTCGGCCATTTTAAATCAAATCGCTAAACCACTGCATGTGCATATGTCCCACATAAAGTACTAGGCACATGCAAAGAATGAACGTAATCGGTCCAAGGGATTCTGAGATGACTCCGGACGGACGCACGGACACACAGACGCACGGACGGACGGAGACCGAATTATAAGTCCCCGTTTTCGGACTTCGTCCGAACATGGACTAATAAACATGTCAGGAATATGATTATGATGATTGACATTTGTATCTACTTGTCAAACGAGTATTGAGAGATATTGCTCTGGAACAGCATTTATAATTAAAACAAAATCAGCCATTTTGAATACATGTATAATGAATATATAAAATTTGAACATAATCAGTCAAAGCATGTCAGAGATATGGCTCTATAAGCCCATTCATTAAAACAAAATGACCGCAAGTCAGCTATTTTGAGTCCGATATGAAAAATAAAATGACATGCATCAGGAACCAGTTATGTTTAATGTATGTACCAAGTTTGAACAAAATCCATCCATAAATGCCAGAAATGCTTGATATTTAATGATAATTTAGCACAAAATGGCCACCACTCTACCATTTTTAATAGGATCGTTAAACCAATATATCTGTATATCTATGACATGATCTATAATGAATATTTAAATTTTGAACATAAACAGTCAAAGCAAGTCAGAGATATGGCACTAGAATCACATTCATTAAAACAAAATGGCCGCCAGTCGGCCAGAAAAACAAAATGATGTGCATCAAGATCCTATAATGTCTAACGTATATATCAATTTTGAACAAAATCCATCTGTAAACAGCCAAAAAATGCTTGATTTTGATGATTTTTAGCACAAAAATGGCCGCCATTCGGCCATCTTGAATCAGATCTTGAAACAAATTGACGTGCATATATATAATATCATGTATGATTATGTGTAAAGTTAGATTGTGATTGGTCCAGGCGTTTCTAAGATACAGGTCCGACCACGGGCACGCACGGACACTGAGGTCAAAACATAAGTCCTTGTTTTCAGACTGTGTCCGAACGGGAACTAACAAATCTGGGAGAGGTTCATATGTAGTACCTATATACGTAATATCCAAGCAATCAGACTTGTGATTTTTAACTAGAAGTCGAAAATATCACTTTTTACTAAATAAAAAGATGTCATTAGAAAATGAACAATATGTATGTATGTATGTATGTATGTATAGCAATCGAACTTGCTGTTTTCAACAATTCCAAAAATGATCACCAAAATTAGATTATTGGAGATATCATCACGTAATGAACAAATCTGAAAGGGGTCCACATGTAGTACCTATATATGTAATATCAAAGCAATCAGACTTGCAGTTTTTAACAAAAAGTCGAAAATATCACTTTTTAACAAATATTCATTAAAATTAGAGAATTGAAGATATCACCATGAAATGAACAAATCCGAGAGAGGCCTACCCAAGGTACATATACACCGAGTATCAAAGCATTCAGGCTTGTAGTTTTCAAGAAGTCGAAAAAGTAAAACATTGACACGGACGACGATGACGGACGACACCGGGCAATCACTCATATGATAAGCTCCGCTCGACAAAGTTGATAAAAATATTCACACTTTCATTGTAATATGGTGCTTATAAGCCTTGGTTTTGGGAATTGTTGCCCAGTATTTGAGTTGTTTTCATCGGGCGTACTGACTTCCTTACATTTCACGATGTTGCGTTATCGCATACGAAATCCCGATGCTACCACCGTTAGGCCTGGTCTTCCAGATCCAGTGTCAACTGACAATCCTGATGAAACATATCAAGCTAATGAAGAAGTCTTCAAAGTTCTCACAACCCTGGGTTCTCATGGCAGAAAACGAAAGCGTTGGCAATATGAAGTTTATAATCCAGAACTCAGTGCGAAGATCTGCAAATTTGCATCAGAAAATGGCAATTCCAGAGCAGTGCGCCGCTTAACTGTCTTCCTTGGTAAATCCATCAATGAAAGTACCATTCCATCTATGAAAGAAGGCTACATCAAAGAAGTCCAAAAATCAAAAACTCAACCAGTAACCAGTATTCATCATGCTAAACGTGGTCGACCTCTACTTTTAGACGAACTTGATTCTTGAGTGAAGCGATATGTAAATAACGTCAGAGACTCAGGGGGCATCGTCAACAGAAACAACGTAGTAGCAGGCGTGGTATTGTGTTGCAACGTAATCGGTCCTGCTCCAAGAATTTGGCGGACCTATCAAATTGACATGTACTTGGTCAGAGTCATTACTGCGAAGGATGGGTTACGTGAAACGGAAAGGGATGAAAGCTGCTAGAAAATAATAGGGAGTCTTTCTTGGAACGCATCACCAACGCAGTTTCCACGGAGGCAATACCATCCGAGTTGGGTGATCAATTTTGACCAAACTGACGTACACATTGTCCCCGTTAGTTCGTGGACATTAGCCAAAAAGAGAGAGCGACAAGTCCCAATTATAGGCCTGGAGGACAAGCAAGAATTAACGGCAGTATTTGCAGTGTCCTTGGCCGGCGATTTATTGCCACCGCAACTGCTGTACAAGAGAAAGACCGATCAGTGGCACCCAAACACTCAGTTTCCCGCCGAATGGGACATTTACCATACACCAAACCATTGGA